TATTGAAAACAATTTTTTAGGGGTGGTTTTTCAACTTTAAGGGGGTAGTTTGAAAAAAAGCTTGACTAGATTAACTTTATTTTCGTATTTTATGTAGGGTAATATTTTTTCCAATTTTTTTCGGGTTATTTTAATTTTTTTCATAAAAATAGCCATGAAATAGATAGTATTTTAAATAAAAAAAATAAGGGTTGCATCCCTTGTGGTCGGAATTGCATGTGCTAGTTTGCTTTTCACATGAGAAGTGATATGAAATTTGTTTAGTCGTAAAATATCAATTAGATGCTGAGATACATTGGAAAATCTATTTTTGGGGGTGAACTTTGAGGGTTGTTTTCACCCCCTCAAAATGTTTTTCCGCCGATAAAAAAAATACGTATGTCTTATTTTTTGATGAACTATAACATATCAAAAGATTATTGAAATCGGTGAGGTCGGGTTGGGGGGGTTTCCTTGTAAGAGAGGACAGTTTTCTGAAGAAGAATGGTGACCTATAGACTCTTGAGCGAAGACAACTGGTCTCAGTTGGTTGGAAGAAATTGGCTTGACTGTTGTTATTATAACTTTGTAGTTTTTCTAAATGAATTGATTGATTTTTAATTCAATAATTTGAATTAGTTGATTTTTGGTGTATGATTTGGTCAACTGTTATAGTTTGTAATTAGAATTAGAAAAATGTAAGCTACTGGGTATTCCTGCGAGTTTACTATTTCAAGAACGTTTTTATTAACCTTTAGAGGTTAGGAAAACCACTATAGTGGCTCAAAATAATTTCTCAAGTTAGTCTGTAAAATAGGTTAATTCTGGGCTTTTTGAGCATACTGATTACGAATATGATGTCATAAGTCAAAAATTACGAAACAACCATAAACCAACCCTAAAATAAGGGTAAACTATCATTTTAAGCGCGAAAATAAACTTTCTATAGTAAGAGAGTGTAAATATAGTTTTCTGAGGTATTTTTCAACTCTGAATCGAATTCCAAGATCAAAATTGCGAATAAAACCATAACTAAAACAGACACTAACCCTGTGTCAAATAAAACAATTTTTCAAAATATCAAAATTAGCATCATCCCTGAGGATGGGAAAGCCACTATAGTGACTCGACCATCGATCGCCACTTCACGTGTATGTCACGGTATTCTCCGTTATAAGACACACATATTATGCGTTTTCTATGAAAAATACTGAGCAGTGAAAAATTTCGAATCCCCGTCCTCTAAAAGTTGAAATACATTTTGCTTATGTGCCTGAAAACAAGGCCCATTGTTGTAGATTATTTAGTGAATTTTGTAATATTTTTTGAGTTGTAAAGGAATTTTTTTCGAAGCAATAAATTGTTAGGTCGTCAGCAAAGTTGTTGCATGCACAAGTTGTTTGTAAATGAAATTGGTCTGTAGTTTTTTGAGTTGAATGAATCTTTACCAGGTTTAAAAATCGGAATAATGGTAGCTAATTTCCATTAGTCCTCAAAGATCTGATCTGACCAAATTTTATTATAGAATTTAAGAATAAGCTCAATTGCTGAACTCAAAAGATATTTCAACATTATATTCAAGATTCCATCCGACCCAGATCTTGAATTTTTGCACGATTATAAAGTTTTTGTGATTTCCATTGATTCAATTTTCTTGTTGAAATTTAAGTTGTCGATTTCTTCAGATTGTTCGTGATCATTTTAGTCGTTTAGCTATTTTTGAATTCCAGGAAGTCTTGATTATAGTTTTGATTGCTTGAGTTTTCAGCAAACGTTTGAGTGATTTTGTTAGCAATTTCATGTAGTTCAAAGATTATTTTGTTATTATCTTTAGTGTAGATATTTTAGGAGATTTGAATTAATCTTGTATTGTTTGAATCTTCTTCCAGATCATGGAAGATGGAGTATTATAGTCATGTAGTCTATCTAGTCCGGCTAGAAATTTCATCCAATAGACGGTTTGTACATTCTTTAGACTTCTTTTAGCTATCGATTTGCATTTATTGCACTCTATCTTATTTTCGGAAGTTTTATGTTTTTAAAATCTTACTCAACTAAAATCTCCCGATCGAACTAAAATTAAAATAGTATGGAAAGAACAATTGAAAGCATGTTTGGATTATTTATTTGCTTTATCACATTCTGGATTCCACCAAGGGACTTGTTTTTTATTAGGTTTAAGCTTTTTTATCGAGATAGCTTTATCTGCTGCTGAAGAATCTATCGAATTGAATGTATCGATTTTTTTATTGATTTCAACCGTGTTTTCTGAGTTCATCTTTGGATCTATAAGTTTATTATTGATTTATGACTGAAATAGTGGCCACTTAGCTAGTTTATTGTTATAGATTTTTGAAGAAATAGGTTTCATCTAATTTAAAGATAAGGTAGAGATTTTTAGGCTTATCAGATAGCGATCGCTGTCGTATAGATCGTTTAGTACTTCCTAATTGAAATTTTCAATCTCTAAAGATGATACTATGGACAAATTGATGGCACTGAGATCACCGTTTACTGAATTGAATTTGGTGGGCTTTTCGAAGTGAAATTTTAGGATTGTTTAGACATTTTTCTACAATTTTTGCTCTAGTCTCAGTAATTTATGCTTCCCCACAGAATATTATGTAAATTAAAGTCACCTAAAATTACGTAAGGTTTTGGAAGTTGAGATTATAGGTCCTCATTTTGTTGTAATTTTAATGGTTGGCCATTTGATAAGTAAATGTTACAGACTATTATTTTTTGGGTAAAAAACTTTCCACTGCCACTGCTTCAAGTTCTGTATTTATATTTAATTCATTCTAGTATACAGGGTGTCCCATTTTAAAGGAACCACGCCGAAATTTTCGACGGTTGGCGTTGTACAAAAAAATTGTTCAGACAACCGTTGTTTGGGACAATGGGGGCAACCTTTCTGTGAAATCCGATTTGACCTTGAGATTTATTTTCAAGGTCATGTGAAGATCAAAGTCATTTTTTGAATAGGAACCCATATTTTTGATACCGGATTCGGAAAGAGCGGAAAATTCTACGTTTAGATAACGTATTATGAGTGGGGTGCGGATAACCCCCCCCCCCCGCCTAAGGTCATGTAGGGGTCAAATTTATGATTTTCTTCATCTATGCACAGGGATGATCGGGCAAGGGTAAAGTTAATTGTAATAACCCAATAACTCGATAACCCCAATAACCCCAATAACCCAATAACCAAGAGATATTTTGAATAAGGACCCCCATTTTTTATCCCGGATTCGAAAAGAGCGGGAAATTCTACGTTTAGATAAAGTATTATGTTGGGAGAGCGGTTCACCCCCCCCCCCCCCCATCCCACCTGGGCAAGGGTGAGGTTAATAAGGTATTTATTACTCAGCCAGTGAAGGCAAGGTATTGATTACCCAGCTAATGAAGGTAAGGTATCGATTACCCAGCCAATGAAGGCAAGGTATCGATTACCCAGCCAATGAAGGCAAGGTATTGATTACCTAGCCGGGTGCTGCGGGTAATACCTTGCTGCAGCACGATATCGGCTTTGACATGCCCCGAGAGACAACAGAATATTAACAATTTCGTTTCTCGAATCATCCGGCATATTCCCTCCTTTTAAGTCGACTAAGAAAATTACATTTGAACTATCCTGAGAAGGACTGTTTGCGAATCACTATTGTCATAAACAATACTAAAAAAGTGTTATTAAACAATTTAGTTGAAACTTTGTAGGCTTGTCCGGAATCACACCAGAAAAAAGAATGCAAATAACATGTTATCCCACAAAATGAAAAATTACACTTTTCATGAAGGCTTTGAAAATCAACCTGAAGTTTAAGCTCAAGGTCACTGTTGTTTGACCCTACAATTTTTTTGGGATATTGGGGTTATTGAATTATTGGGGTTATCGGGTTATTGGATTATTTGGTTATTTGGGTTATCGAGTTATTGGGTTATTACAATTAACCTTACTCTAGCCCGATCATCCCTGTGCATAGATGAAGAAAATTATAAATTTGACCCCTACATGACCTTAGACAAGAGAGGGGGGTTATCCGCACCCCACACATAATACGTTATCTAAACGTAGAATTTTCCGCTCTTTCCGAATCCGGGATCAAAAATATGGGTTCCTATTCAAAAAATGACTTTGATCTTCACATGACCTTGAAAATAAATCTCAAGGTCAAATCGGATTTCACAGAAAGGTTGCCCCCATTGTCCCAAACAACTGTTGTCTGAACAATTTTTTTGTACAACGCCAACCGTCGAAAATTTCGGCGTGGTTCCTTTAAAATGGGACACCCTGTATATATATATATATATACCTCAAATATACAAAAAGATCCCTTCTTGCCCCATTAAGTTAGAATATCGAAAAATCCTGATGTGATTGATAAATTCTTACTCCGGATTTGAATTCTACGAAAAAAATTACTTCGGAAATGATCTTCAGTTCGTTAACAAAACAATACGGATGTGTGTTATCGTTTACTATTTGTGGGCGCTGGATATAAAAAATATATATAGCAGGTAGTTAATCTCATTATTATAAGTAGAAATAAAATTTACTTTGCATAAATTTTATTATTATTATTTTTATAAAAAAAATTGATGAGTTGAATATGTATGATCATCAAATTGCATCACATTTAAATTACCATATCTAAATTCAGTAATTAATGATTCAGTAAGTCCTTGATACATTTTATTGGATAAAAATAAAAAATATCTAATGTATTTTAATATAAACGATGACTATTAATTGAAAAATAAATAATTCATGAAATTACAAAATCTTATTAGTGTGTAAAATTTGGAGAGAGATGTCATTTAGTTATATAATTTTTGTTAGGAACTCTCTGCAGAACCTTAGAAACCAGAAAGATTTTCAAATAAAATTTTTAGAATTTTTATTTCAGCCTTTACACGTCTAATTTCGATAAAATCCAGTTTAGTCAGAGAAAAAAAAGAAGCGTAAGGAAAACAGAGAGATCTCTCATTCCTAAGAATAGTTCATTTATATGAATTCTTACCTCTGAGAATATGAATTTTTTCTTGACGTTGTAGGTAACAGTACCATTAGGATTAAATTTAATATTAACCTTTTCCCAGGTCTCAAGGTAAACATAGGGTCCTAGTTCTTGAAGAGCCGGTTTGTCACCATTGTTAAGGAAATTATCTGCATTTGTAACGTTGTAAATATATACGTGCATCTGCGGTGTAACTGGTGGCTTCTTCCACCAACCAAAAGTTTGACCACCTTCTTGTAGTATGATTTGTCGGTTTATTATGAGTGTTATTAATGTCGGAAATATAGCGGCTAATATGCCTGCAATTATTAGCATCAAAGCACCTATTGCTACTGCAGCCCCTATAATACATATAATAAATCGTAAATTTATCATAGCATAAATCAAATTATTCATAATAGGACTATTCAATAAATTCATTTTATTTTTATAAAGTTAGTTTTGATAGATTTCAATACTTCTAATAAATATATGCATTTTATTCATTAAATATTGAAATTTTATTTTTAAATTACGGAACATTTTGTAATACATAAATGAATAAGCATTTATGTATATTTTCTGCCATTTTACTGTCATACGAGTTCAATGTAATTTGCGATGGAGAAAAACGCTTTGATAACTGTATCCTCTCCATTGGCTATCTCTTTGCACCTGCGAGCGCTGCAGTCGGACCGATTGTGTGTATGCGTGCGTGAGCACATCTCTCATGCATACATTATTTGTTTGAGGTATCGATTGGTGGAATCAAGAAAGAGGCGGTGTGGCTTCGGCGAACTCATGAACACAAAAACTTGAGAATATGGGGAGAAGGAATAGAGTGATAGGAATCGCAACACGGGAGCGAAGTAGTATGGTCGTGCGTTCAACTACTTCGGACTGACGTGCATACTGTTACCCTTTCCTTCTTTAAATTAGAAAGCTTGGGTTTCAGAGCCACGTCGCACCCACCCTATAATAGCACCGTGAACGCCTTAACAGCTGCTACTAACGCCCCGAGTAGTAACAATAACACTGAAAAGTCTAAGACGTTTTATATTTCTGTACTATTTTACAAATTTCATAAAGTATTTTCTCATCAATAATCAAGGTTACACTATAATGCTGTTAACGCCATATGCGTTCCGTGTGTCGGTAATGGCAAGCGCGCCTTCACCGCTACTCGGATTAACATCTTTCCCAAGGCAATGTCCTATGGTTCCCAAGACCGCCGTTTAAGCGAGGTGACAAGGAGTGAGCGAGGGAGAGAGAGAGAAAAAAAAGAGAGACGTAACAAACCAGTGCAAAAGAATTATCAGCGCTAACACATGTCTGTCTCGCCGGGTCGTAAATCCTAATTTATGGGGAAAAAGTTGTGACGACAATCGATAGCCCGTTTAGCCTGTTTTATTTGTCTGTTTGGTTTTCCACCCTCTGATTGGACCTTCGCAACAGGCCCATGGGTGGGCCTGTTTGCTCGCAGCGGCGAAGCGTGGAAAGAAAAGGGGCAGTCAGTTTCTCAGGAAAACTCGGACTTTGAGGGCGCGCTTTCGATTCAATTGTCTGACTCTCGGGTTCAAAATAATCTCGCTCTGGCCGATGTCTACCGCATGTGTACTTGTGGCAAGATCAAGTGTGACCATTTTTCATTAGAAGTCAGCGGCGCGAGAGGCTACGTCCAGGAGTTGCCTACCTAGCTGAGGATACGCCGTGTCCTCTGGAGTGGCTGCCTCTCAGCGGCATCGGGTCCCTTTCTTTAAGTGGCCGCGACCTGTGTCGTGCTGAACTTGAAGGCACTCTCCCTGCCTGGGTGAATCTTTCCACCCGTATGCGTGTCGAGCTGGTAGAACTTCCGTGATTGGCAATTCACTGGCGTTGTACAGGTTAAGTGAACCTCCGTAAGAGTTACCCGTTTTAATTAATTCTTTTGTGTCATTGTAATTAAAAAGATAAGTTTGTTCCTTTTCGTTAAGGTTTGTGTTTACATTCAATCACCCACACCTGCACCCAAACCGCCCATCCTATCAAACAAAAGGATACCTAGATAGTCCCTTTCTTAATTTAATATGCTTATATTAAACATGGTGCCCCGGGTGAGGAAAGTATGACTGTATGGTGAACTTGATTATCGCTTAAATTATATTTTGGTAGTAAATTTAATAATAAGTCAATCGCTGCGTGTATCGTAAGTTATCGAAAACTGCGAAGCCTGTAAGCGCAGCCCGGTACGAGGTCCACCCGTGTCTTTAGCCAACCGTCTTGTTGATACAAGCTCGGCATCTGCGCTCAACATCCAGTAGTAGAATGCCGCGAATTACATCGCTGGAGTAGCTCGTAGCCCTACAGAAGAACCGCATTGACGAAATCGCAAACATCGGCAATCGCCTGAGGGAATACGCGCCGAACACTCTCAGCAAAACGATCATTTGAACGCGTATTCGTATCGTCAATGAAAAGTGGGCGGATATCACCAAAACGCATGAGGAAATTACGCTGCGTACAGACACGGTAGGGCACACGTATGTCCTTGAAAACAATCATTAGGACATGAGTCGGGTTTACAAGGAGACCATCGATTGGTTGTTGGAAAAGGAGGTGGGACTCTCCGGAGATACCGAGGAAAACAATCAATGACGCGCCCGTGAAGACGACGTTGAAGTCAATAAGCCTGCGAAGTTAGCGCAGCTTGACTTGCCCAAGTTCTCCGGGCGTTATGAGGACTGGGACAGTTTCGCGGACATGTTCGCTTCACTCGTACACGATGGCTCGCCGATAAAAGATACAACCAAGTTTCAATATTTGAAGTCGTGCTTATCGGGCGCCGCAGCTGAGTTGGTAAAAGACGTGGCTATCACCGACATCAATTACGCATCAACATGAAAGGCTTTAAGAGACGGATTTCACAACGCACGCCTTACGATCAACCAATTACTAGATGCGATAAATAACATGCCTTATTTAAAGAAGGAATCGGCCGTGGATTTGCGCAAGTTCGTAGACGAAATACAGCGTATTGTACGTGCGCTCACAAATCCTAGACTTCCGGTAGCTCATTGGGACGCGTGGCTCGTGCATACATTGGAAGTACGTTTGGACCCGGAGTCTCGGAAAATATGGGAATCTGATTTAGTCGCTCAGAAGCGACAGTTGACCCTACTGCCGCCTGATGAAGCCGAGCTACGCCTTCCAAAATTCGCCGACCTTGCCGCGTTCCTTGAGAAGCGCTTTCAATCACTCGCTGCGATCCAAGCGGATAAGGATGATCGAAGGCAGTAACAAGCTACAACTACGAATAATAATTCGCGTAAGGTACATTATACGCAATTTTCATAACCCGCCGAGTCAAAGAAGTGCGGCTTATGCTCCGGCGAGCACTTTCTGCGACACTGTACCACGTTCCTCGAAAAACGCGTCCCGCATCGTATGAGGGAAGTACGCCGCTTGAAGCTTTGCTTCAATTGTCTCGGTACCTATCAGAGCAAAGATTACACTTCTACCTTCCGTTGTAAAACGTTTTGCGAGAAACATCACTCCCTAATACATTCCAACCGCAAAGGGCAATCCGATACTTCACAGGACAACTCTTCGTCTGGCACCGCGCAAGTCAAAACGATGCATTTGAGGAAAGCCGTTGGATCCTTCTACTCAGCCAATGATCCTAATATGCGCGCTACAGCAAGCGAAAGCCCGATCCTCCTTGCGACCGCTCAAGTAATTGTTGAAGGTCCACACGGTAAGCAAACCCGTGTTTGGGCCCTCCTCGATCAAGGTTCAGAGGCGACATTCGTATCCGAGTCACTCATCCAATTGCTCGGACTTCAAAAGGATCGAGTGCAAACAGCTCTAACCGGCGTCGGCGGTTGTGAGGCTGGTTTTGTCAATGCGGCTATGCACCTTACGATGCAATCGCGCATCAACCCGGAGTTGAAAATCGAAGTCAACGCATTCGTATTACCACGACTCACGGCCGAACTACCATCGCGCAACATCGTCGACATCAACATTGGTCTTTTCAAGAAATTATCGCTCACTGACCCGGACATCCATCTCTCCCTTAGAATTAACCTGTTAGTAGGGGCGGATTTATACGGCCAACTGCGTCGTTCAGGGCAATCAGTGAAAACTCTACGGACCTTACCGAGGTAATCCAGCGTTTCTGGACCATCGAGGTGGTTCTGGGCACCGGTCAGCGACTGAAACCGGTAGACTAGACGTGCGAAAAACTTTTAACCGAGACTCACTCGCGAGATACTAACGGACGTTTTCATGTCCGCGTCTTCTTGGCAATCGAACTGCCGAGCGCCGCTTTGGCAAGTTTCAATGGACAGCGGTGCGTCCCATTCGCACTTTTCTATCCATAAGTCCTGAATTATGATCTTTGCGACAACGTTGATCAGCGTGAGCCAGCCTAATGGATCAAACAGACGCGCGATTTGCTAATAAATTGAGCGCTTTTACCGCGTTGTCGTGTTCTTGTTCCTTAATCACGTCATTTTTGCTAACTCGATCCCGCAGAGGCAGCAAATCCGGGTGGTTAGCTGCCTATTTGTCTAATTCGCTGCCCGGAGATGCGAGAATGCATATAAGCTCACTTCTTTTCTAAACCGCGGATGCGAGTTCATCTGCGCCGGCGAACATGTCGTCAACATGCGTTTTCGACTCTGAGCATTCCATTCCTAGCGGGAAGTGCAACCTACCGTCGAGGGCCAGCTGCAAGAGCGTACATATGGGAAGGTACGGTGCGCAAGCCGTGCCGTAAGTTACCGTCGTTAAACGATAGTCGATTGGAGGTTGATTTGGCGATGGATACCATACGATTTGTTGCAAATCTTGATCCTCGGGCGCGACACGGATCTGTCGAAAAATTTTCACGATGTCGGTCGTGAAAGCGTAGCGATATTGACGCCAGTTTAGCAACACAAGCGAGAGGTCTCTTTGGAGTGGCGGGCCTTTCATAAAAAAGTCATTCAGGTAATGTCCTTCACGCGTTTTTCGCGAGGATCAAACAAGACCTAAATTTTTTAGTACTGCTGAGTGACTTGGATTACCGCGTAATGGAGCAAGTACCAAGCGCGGGGATTATGCAGCTCGGCTTTTGGAATCGGCACCATGCGGCTGAGCTGGAAATACGTCTCCATAAATTCCACGTACGAGTGCATTAAGTTGGAATCTCGCGAAAATCGCTGCAGTTGGTGCTTAAGATGGCTGATCTATCGCCGTTTACTTTCTACACTACCCTCTCTATCGATAGATCGTTGGCTCGGATTATCGCAGAATAAATCGTTTGAAATCCACGGGTTCTCGGATGCGTCTTCTCGAACCTACGCTGCTGTTACTTATATTCGAATATACGAGGGTAACG